GATAGATCTTGTTACCAGGGAAGCAGTGTTGTTGCTGTGACTGTACTTCACCATGTGGTTTAAAAGCTTTTGGAATTGGCTTATAGGAAGAGTTTGGAAAGGTTTGGAGAGGCCAACTAGAGAAGCCTTACCATGCTGCAGAGATTGATGGGAGACTCTGATCGGAGCTCAGAAAACTGCAATGCTCAAGTAGGAATGCAGACAGAAAAGGCCAGGCTCAGGAGCTTTCTGTTGGAAGTGACAACTCCATTGGAATTTGGACTACAGGACACATGTGTTACACCCTGGCAGAAAATTTGTCTTCATTTTGCCCATGTCTTAATATTTTGCTGAAGACTAAGATTTAGGGTGGTGGATTGATTATTCTGGTCAGCAAAATTTCAAAGCAGCTCAACATTCAGGATCCTGGTTGCTCCTATCTAGAGCTACAGTGAAAATCAGGAGCCAAAAGCAGATGTAAAACGTTTATAGTTTCATCAGAAAGGAAGCACCTGCAAGATTGAGGCCATGGAGAGTGTAGTTTCTGAAAATTAAAAAAAAATCCAAGTGCTTTGCATCAGGACAAGGAGAAAGAGGATTTGACGGCATCTCAAGAATCAGCAAGACCCAACAACACAATGTCAAATGTGTAGAGGTGCTAACCCTTGCTTTGAGAAGAGAGCCCCAGGGAGTCCAGTTCATTTAGTACTGCCTAGAAAAGTGTTAGAGACAGATAACAGGGCCAAGCTACTGCTTGAGGTGATGGCAGACTTCAGCATCATCCACATAGTGCTAGTTCTACAGACATGCAGGATGCAAGATTTGTGGGCTCAAAGAGGTTTCCACCCAGATTTAAAAGAAGACCTGGGAGGCCAGCCGATGTGTACCTGAGAGAGCTATACATGAGGCTATGAGAATGAAGGTGAAAGTACAGTGGAGAGCCCATGAAATTGGAGATGCCAGAAATATGGATCATGTGCTGAGGAAAGCCACAGGAAGCCAGTGGAGTCTACTCAAGACAGAGGCCATGTAGGCTGTAACTGGCAATGCTATAGGGATACACTGCCCACGCCATTTAGAACCCATGTCTTACTGCAACTTTCCCCAGGTATTGATAGAGAGCCCTTTCTGGTCCTCATCATAGTCCAGGAAGTTTATATTTGTAATCCCATGCAAAAGTTATTGGAACCCCATTGAGTTAATTCCAATCTACCACTTCTAGTGCAACCCATGGTGAGAGTAAAGACACTAAGGCATATTTGTAGTTATGGGGAGCCATCGCGTCCTAAGTCCAGTTACAATGATGGCTAGCTGGAACAAAGCCCTCGACCCAGGGCCAATCCTGGGTTTTATTCATTTGTGAAGAAAGGAGTGGCTTGGGGTTGGGGATATAGCTCAGTGGCATAAGCGCCTGCCTGGTAAGTGCAAGGTCGTGAGTTCGATCCCTGGTACTGCAAAAACAAACAAACAAACAAAAAAAAACAAAAAAAAGAAAGGAGTGGCGTGAGGATGAGCGACTGTGAGAATGGCAGGAAGCATGTGGGTGCTGTAAGCTGGGCTGAGCAGGAGGCTTGAAATCACCTCGGAAATATGCAGAGAGAAGGATATACAGAAAGAATAATCTGCGTAACACAGTTGAGAAGGTATTTAATGTTTTGGGGTCTGTGTTTCAGCTCTGATGTGTAATCTTTTATGCCCTGGGAAGTCACAGCCTCTTATCTTGGGGCTTGATCCCAGCCACAGTATGGAGCATGACTCTCCATCCCACCTCACCTGGATCACAAATAGGAGCTATGGGAGATCTGGAAAACACTGCCCTGTTGGCTGGACCGATTTGCATTGCTTAAAGCCAATTTAAGGGATAAGGAAAAGTCCTAGCCAGCTCTGTACATATTAATACATGGAAATAGGGCCAAGTTCAACCAAAATGGAGATGATCGCTCCTCTTTTAAGGAGAGTCACCCAGGTGGTTCTACACAGTGTTGGGATTCCAGGATTTACTCTATTGGATATTGGTCTTGCTTTTTTTCTTATTTCTTTCTATTCTCTATTTTTCCTTTTTGTAAAGGAAATGTTTATTCTGTGCCATTGTATGTTGGAAGTATTTTACTTTCTTTTTGATTTTTATAGGGCCTAAAAGATAAATGTTTTACTTGAGTCTCAGAGAAGACATTGGACTTGGACTTTTTAGCAATGCTGTAACTATTAAGACTTTGGTGACTCTTAGAGATGAACTAAATGCTTTTGTGCAATGAGATGGACATGAGTCTTGGGGCAAGGGTGGCAAGGGCAGAATATTATAGTTTAGATCTGAAATGCTCCCCCTATATTATGTGTTTGGAAGGTGGTAGTATCATGGGATTCATGATACACTCATCAGTGGATTCATCTGTTGCATTCAGTAGCTGAGTGTATTGTTCAGGAGTGGGGCTGGTTGGAGGTCAGTCATTGAGGACATGGCCTGGAAGGTTATATCTCCCTGCCCTGCTCCTCCCTGCTCTCTCTGCTTCCTGGCTGCCATGGGTGGAACAACTTTCCCCTGTCACACCTTTGCACCCTGCCATTTAGAGGCCTTGGAACCAGTGGGCCATGGATGGAAACCATGAACCAAACTTCTCCAGGTTGGGGGTGTTAGGTATTTTGTTCCAGCAATGATAAAGTGACCAAGACAGAAAGGAAGCATTCTCCCCTATGTCCCTCAGCGGGAATATGGTCCTGTAAAAATCTTGATTTCATACTTTTAGCTTGTAGAACTGTGAAGTTGACTTCTGCTGTTTTAAGACATACTTTGTGGTAATTTGTTATGGCATTCCTAGGAAGTGAATAGATCAAGGGAGCAGGATAGAAGCTGAAGATCTTATGCTATGGTCTATATGGAGGAAACAGGACCGTAAGGCCAAAATTAGAGGTGGTATATTCCAGGTAGGGGCAATTATAGGGACAAGACACGTGAATAAATAAGGGGTCACCTCCTGCAAAGCAGGGGGCAGTGGAGACCAAGAAGACATTACCCTCAGCAAATCCTTGCTCCTCTCAGCGGCTCCGATTTCTTGGAGGCTATGTGCCTGATAATGGGATCTTGAGCTTCTGGGACTCTGAGATCCTGTGGAGACCTTACTCATACCTTTGGCTGCCAAAACCTACTGCACCGAACAAGGTCTATAGAAGATATCCGTCCCTTTATGTGGTCAGCAAATATTCTGAGTCAGTTTCTGTAGTGGACGCCAAGAGTATGGTGATGGACAAAGGCTCCTCGAGCTCCAAGCTGGTGAGGGAAGACGGTATTTACTTATTCAACTATCAACTGTGCAAGTGTCATAAAGCACATAGGGACCTGAAAGGCTGTGATGGCAAGTTCTGACCTGGTCAGGGAAGTCAGGAGAATCCTTCTGTTTGAGAGAAACTGAAGGATTCTGAAGGCTTTAATAAGGGAGGGGGAAACTCTTCTGGATGGGATAGCGTGTGTAAAGGCCTGAACATGGTGTGGAGGGATCGGTCAGTTAGAGGGACCAGAGGAATGTCAAAGTGCTCTAGTGATGTGAGCAAGGGCCAAACCATGTGAGGCCCTATAGACCACTTTTAGGGATTTTCCTAAGAGCAGCACACTTTCTTTAGCTGCAAGTGATGAGTGCATGGCTGCATTTGTGAGGATCACTGGGACTGTCATGGGAGGAGAGGCGGGAGGGAGCAGACACGGAGAGGCAGCCGGCCGAGAAAGTGCTGGGATCACTCAAACGAAAGAGGATGGAGGAAAATGGTGGAGTAGAGAGAGATTTGGGTGGCAGAACTAAACAGACTTGGGATATAGCTGGATAGGGTGGGGGAATGAGGGAGAGGGAGGAGCTATGTATGCCTCCAAGGCTTCTGGCTGTGAACCGATGGGAAGTATCTCCTCAGCAGCAGGGAGTATGGCGTGTGTAGAGTGGGGGAGAGGGGAGAATAGGAACTCACCTTTGGACTTGCTGCTACTGAGGTATGTGTGGACACTCACCCGGAGAGGCAGGCTGGGAAGTAAGTTTTGTGAGTCTGCAGCTCAGGAGGAAGGACAAGGACAAAGAGTAATTTGTGAGTCATCTGTGTAGAGGAAAAAATTACAGAAAAAGAAGAGGAAGGAAGCGACCCTAGGCCTGAGCTTTGAGGAATCCCCCACCACTGCTGACTAGTGAGCAGAGTGGCACAGAGGGATGCCAGGAAGAAGCCTGGGCAGGGGTGGCAAGGAGCCGAAGGAGGAAGGAGCGAAGTGTGCACTTGGGGAGGAGAGCGGGGAGGACCACAAGTTCAAACCCAGCCGGGGCAACTTAGCAACTCAGGGAGAACACCAAGGGGGATGGAGGTGATCTCAAGAGACTGGAATGTTCCAAGAAGGGAAGGTCACTGCTGGGGTGTCAAATGCTGCTTGGGACCTTGGCAGGAGATTGAAGAACGGTTGTCCAACTTCAGACTTTTAGAGATTATTGAGAATCACTAAGATCCGGCTTTGTGTTGCTAGGGAGCTTGAAGGCTAAATGCAGGGTCTGAGGAACAGGGAGAGAGGCTTTCCTGCTCTCTGGGGTTGGAGAGACACCCAGAACTGGTGAGGTCAGATGAGGGTTTTCGTTCCATAACAGAGGCTTGAAAATGTTTGTGGGCCAATGGGGAAGATCCAGTTGAGAGGAAGAAATGGAACATTCAGGAGAGAGAAGGGTGATCCCTGGGGCAAGATCCTGAAAAGGCACCGGGATGGGAAGTTCTGAGCAGGTTTCTGCGGCAACACGAGGTAGCAGATGTAGGAAAGTTTCCGTCTGCTTTTGGCTGAGCTCTGAGCGCGGCTGATACAGATGGAACAGGTTATATTTCATGTGTGCCGTTTTCCCGCGTCTGTCTTGCCCAGGTCTGGGCTGCCCGCCGGGCCAGTGTGCCACAAGGAACATGCACACTGGGCCTGGGTGGAGGCTGGGCATGTCCAGTTCCGGGCTGTGCTCCCTGATGAGATTCTCAGGCCGCGCTTCCCCTCATTCATGAGAAGCAGGTTCACAGAGCAGGCGTGGGAACCGCTGGCCGCCAGGGCTTCCTCCTGCTCAGGCCGAGCTCTGCCCTTCGGGCCTGCGTGCCGAGGATAGTCTGGGCAACCGGTCGGCCGCTGCGCCCCCGGGCGTGGCATCCTCTGCCTGCCCCGGTTCGGTGGCTTCCTGCTCCGCAGTCCCCCGCGCTCACCCACCAGCGGTGCCCGCGCCTGGCAGGCTGGGTCCGCAGGCCCCGGCTCCATCTCCAGGCAGGAGCCCCAGGGCCCCGTGCCCCTCAAGCCTTGCCCTGGGGTCTGACCCGCCCGGGGGCCGCAGCCTCCTGCGACCTGGAGGTGAGAGAGGGGCGGTGACGGGGAGAGGGTCCTGTGCCCGCAGCGCCCCCGAGGGGCCGGGCAGG